AAGACTAGGGTTGTGGCCAACCTAGCTAAAGTTGCAAATAGGGGTTTGAATCGGATATGTCGTGCTATGAGGTAATTCTGCTATCTAGTTGATCTTACTTTTGTGATTTGTGGACCATCCTGCCAAATCTTGTAACTTTAGACAAATCTTTTCACCTTTATGGTTTTTGTTTGGCCGGGCTTCACCTTTTATAGTTTTCACACTTAAAAATGCCAATGGAAAAAAGTTAGCAGATTCTCTTTTTCACTTGCTTTTAAGTTTTTCAACTGATTGGTTCACGTAGCAAATCTTATCATATGATTGGTTCATGTGTATGTAATTTTAAATTGTTAATAATTAAATATGCCACAAAATGATATATCAATAACATAGAAAGTTTTACCACATAAAATTTGTTGAAAAGATAGTGTTGAAAAAAAAAAAAAACAAAACAAAGTGCTACCAACTACGTACGAAAATAATATGGTTACAATATTGTATGATGTTATAAATTTATAATATGATATGTTATTTTATTTTATTCAACAATCATATCCGTGATATTATATATATTTATTTATTTAATGACACATATTACACTCATTGAATGTTATGTCATGATTATAAACATATAATCTTATATTATATAGTAACTATAGTATTATCTAATTGCATATCTTAATTATTTCAAAACTTACTTAAAAGTCATTGTTTACATTTTTTTCAACAATTTTTTAAATTTATAAAAAAAACAATTTACTTTTTAACCTCTACCAAACATGCTGAATATTTTCTTGAAAATCACTCTTCCCTTGATTGGAAAACATGTTAGTAGGAAATTGCCAAAAACAATCCTATTCCTTGCGGTTATTTTAATTGAAATCTAACTCTTTGTTTCAAATACACGCCTCTCTGACTCTGAGGGCTGAAGAACAGCAAATGCAACGCAGTCATACCTCTCTTAAACATTTTGGTTAGTGTAGTATGAATCATGCGACTTTAACAATAATATCATCAATCTTCATCCTTCAAGGAAAAAAACACTAATAGTATCAATCAATCACTTCAAATAATAATGACTAATACCAAATATAGATTACACATCTAATCAATACAATCTTTTAACAGTTGTATCAAATATAATTTTAAATACTTACAAGTGGTAGATGAGTTGGTAGAGAATTTTTTCAACTTAATCATAAGTTTTGGTTTTAAATTCTCGAAATGTAGTTCTGTTAAAATTCATAAAGAAGAATTTTACCACTCATTGAGTCATACTCGACTTAAATTTGGATTAATCGGTGACCTAATCGGTTTATAAATACCTGGTGGTTCATAAAAAAAATTGATTATAAATAAAAACTCTAAATTTTTTAAGATTGCAAATTTAATTGATACAATCTTTTAACAGTTATAAGAAGCAACGCTATAACTAGGACTCCAAATCTTTTAAGATATCATTTAATTCACTTGAAATTTTATTGACAAAAATATTGAGTTAAATGGAAATTATAAAGGAAATGGAAAATGAAAACAAGAGCCATATCTTGAGCAATGTACCCCACAAAAAAAGAGGTGTGAAAAACAAGAGCAATCCGGTTCACTGCATTCCAAGCCAAGTTGCCTCAGTTTTCAAAATATGCCATTTTATTTTTTCTCTTTTTTCCCTTTAGAAAAACGCAGAAGCATGAATATCTCTTCGTTTTACCACTCTATCCTTTTCACCCTGTAAAAGATACAAGCATTTTCTTATCTCAAACAAAGAGCGTGAGAGACAAGCGCACAAAAACCACAGGTTTTATTGGACGGTTTGGTATTGTTCAGATGGCAGAGCGTGGGAGTGACATGGGGAAGAAGGGCAAAAGAGATAAAATGCAGGAAGGGACAATCTGAGTCACGGTCCTCACGGATCTGTACTGCAACGGACCACGGAATGAGACCATATTCCGGTAATTGCGCTGCCCAAAACGTTGTTTGTACTTGCTCTACTACCCTATTTCCCCATCTTCCTTCTCATCCCTGTCCTGCGCCTCCTCCCCTTTCCTTTCCCTTCTTTTAATAACCTATTTCTTTCCCAGAGTACATGGTAATGTCTGGTTTAGTTAGTTGATAAAGAGATTGAAATCTTAAATTATAAATTTTATGTTTTTTTTTTTTTATTTTGATTTCACAAGACAATCATTTCCAATCATTTATCTCACTTCATTCACATGTTATGCAATTCAAATTTAAGATCTATTATTTTTAGTAGAAACAAATAATCACTAAATTATTTTTGTCGTTGATTATTTTAATTTTAAGTTAAAAAGAGAAAATTTATGAAAAAAATTATTTGTTTTGTATAATTTTTTATTAAATATAAAAAAATAGCATCACTTTCATTTTGATTTTTCATTTTTTGCAATCTTCCTTTTTATTATTTAATTTTACCACCAAGTGTTATCAGTAGAATTTCTAAAATGGCTTATAACATCAACTACTGGCTATACCCAGAAATAAAAATCTTCATGCAGTTACCATATTAGTATCTGGATTTGCTGAAAATTGGTTTAGAGTTTAATTATAATCAGTTTGTTAGTTTCCAAGTGTGTGTTTGATAGAAGTGAAAATAGAAAGATTTACTTATATTATCTAACTCATAATTAAATATACTTAAAAAAATATTAATGGTGTTACATTAAAAAAAAAAAAACACAAAGAGAGAGAGAGAGAAAAAAACTATTGAAATGGGATTGTGAATACATGTCTGAGCATGGCAGATCTTGGTGAACTCTCCTTTTATGGTAAATCAACTATTGTGTTTTTTTTTTTAAATAGTTTTTATACGTGTATCAAGTGATTAAAATCTTGATATTTTAAATTAAAAATTTTAACTTCAAACAATATAAAAAAAGAATTAAGAAAAGAGAGGATTATAATATATTTTAAAGCTCATCACGTGTGGTGTTAAAAAAAAGAAGAAGAAGAAAACGATAACTTTTCGAATTTATCACTATTTATTTTACTATTGTGAGTTAGCACAGGGAAGAGTCAATCGTTATAACTCTTAAATTATGAGAGTTTATTTTTGTTTATATTTATAGTTATAGTGTTTTAAGTTAATTTGTATGTATTTTAAAATTAATTTTTTTTGAATAATTTTAAAGTTGTACCTCTTATATTAATTTAATTCATTAAATTTTTTTTAAGTGCTAACTTTAAGATTTGATTTTTGAATTTAATTTATAAAATAATATTTACTTACTAATTAATCTAACCATTTGTATTATGAGAGTTCATTAAGTTTCAGCTGCATTGCATGCCTTCGTGTGTTACAACACTCCATCTTCGATCCCTTCATTTTCCTCGAAAATTAGATGGTTTAAAATATAGATTTTTTTTCCTTAAAATTGATTGAATTTAAATTGTTTATTAGAAACTTTATAATGTCATAATAATAAATGGATTACTATTATTATCCTATCCATCCAAACTGAAGTGGACTAATAGCAGTACTGATTCATGCTGTATTTCCTAAATCAACTGTAAATTTGCAATGATAACACCACACCAGATAATTCTCAGAACCAATTATTTTATTCTTGAAATCATTATTTTTTTAGCTTTGAAATTAACTTTTAGAGGGACGAGGGAACAATAAACCATGTTACTATACCTAGCTAACTAGAACTTAAGACTTGAAAGTCACTAAAGTTAATTATTCTACCTTGGGAAATGGACTGATGGAGCATTGAAACAAGTTACCCAATTTATCCTATATCTAAAATCATCTTTCATTAGATTAAACCATGCATTATCTTTTAGTTTTCAGGGAAAAAAATTGAGCATTAACACAAAACTTAATATCCAAATTTCTAGAGTCAAGATTAATGGTTTGAACAATGGGATGTTTGAGTGAGTTTATAATAACTTTAGTTTTTTGACACTATTTATGTTTTATAAGTTTAAATTTTTCTCTTAAAAACCTATATTTTTTAACTTTTTTTTTAACATTAAAAAGATCTTAAATATTAAAAATTCAAAAATTTTAAATCCAAACTTTTTATAAATTTCATTTTTATTCATTTTTCACTCAATTTTTCTTATTTTTAAAAGTAACTTTTAAATTTTTTTTTAATAAAAATTTAAATTTATTATTCATAATAATACTAAAAAAGCAAAAGCTGTCGCAAGTTAAACCAAATAGGTCCTAAGTATATTCACTAACAATCAAGAGACAATTTAATTGCAACAACATCGCATTACGAGAACTTCAAGAATTGGATATATTTATAAGTGCATCTTCGTAGAATGAGTTCAATGTTTAAGTATTAGTGTTAGTTCTTTAAATAATTATTTTTTAAATGCATCATGCCGACGTAGAGTTATGTCGTTAAGATTATTTGAAGTGAAGTTATTTTTGAAATGCATGTAGATTAATTCAAAGACACCTTGACCCTTCTAATAAGAAAAAATAAAAATTCACTTTAATTATTTCATCAATCTTTTAATTAAAATCATAGTATGATTCACTCCTTATTAGTGTTAAAAATGAAATTAATATGTTTATACTTTGTCAAGAATTTAAATAACTCAGTGGTTATCTCCTTTTGTTGAAAGCAAGAAATCTTGAATTTGAGTTGCATGACATACAGATAAGGTGTGATAAGAGATATAAAATGATTGTCTCTTATTATGTAATTAAGATAAAAAAAATTTATACTTTAATATAAATTAATAAAAATATAATTAATACTGACTTCATTCACTTTTAGTAGATTTTTTTTTAATATAT